AGTAATATAACGAGGTCGTTATCTCCATAAGGCTAAATGTCACGTGTACACGCTTCGCACGCATGTAATGCATAGTAATCAACACGATAACCCACGATTCGTGAGTATTTACCCCGCCCCAAACTGTCTTCACCGCCTCATCCTTTGCTACTAGAAAGGTATGAGGCGTTGGTAAACTGCGATGGATTCATTTTCACCCATGAACCGGACTTCGAGAGTGGAAAGTCTCTCCGTGGTGCTCTGCAGCCGCTGCAGCGCACTTCGTTTAACTGTCCAAACCGCGGGCTTCCACGAAACGATCGACGAATCTGGAGCGGCTGTCCTAGAATCGACTCGGATGCGGAAGAGATTGAGTTTTCGCATGGCCTTGTGGATGAATGGCCGGGATTGCCCGCGTTGAAGGCATCGGCGGAGGGGAATGAAAAGGAGAGTGCTGGGTGCGATATGTGTGGCATGTCGAGGGAGACGCTGGAGCAGGAATTGCAAAGTGCGTGGGGAAATGGAGCGGAATAGGGTCTGGACGGTTTCAGGAGTGAATTGGGCGTGGAATTGAAGCAACTTGCGGAGAAAGAGAATGATAAAAATGTTGGTGTTTTAGTGGAGAAGATGGCAATTATTACGCGAAGGGGAGTGGAGGGAAAACAGACGAAAGACGTGCCTAACAGAATTGCTTGTGTGGGGATGTGCTTTAAGGTTGGGGGGAAAGGGAAAGTGAATTCGAGGAGGGAGCATTGGGCGTGGTTTAACGTAGAGGCTGACAAGAGTAAGTAACGTTCCTTTTGTTGCTGAGATCCTCCTCAAGCTTTTCTTCAAGGCTGATCTGCTTGGCAGGGAGCAAGGCTGCGACGTATCTCGGAATACAGAGGGAGCAAAGAAGGGGCTGGGACTTGTTGAACGTGGGGAATATCAATATGATAAAGACAGAACTAAGTCAGTGTGACGAACGACACGGACAGAGTCACATGCCAGGTATGGACTTCTTCGCCCATTAATAATGTTTTTGATTAATTTTTGAGTTAGATACGATTCAACAGTCGCTTCTTCCCTCGCGGATGCGAAAAGAACAGGTGCAAATACGTCGCGTACAGCTACTTCTGGGGCACGGAGACTTCCCAGTCGCCTTACACAACGAAATTCACAAATCTTCGCGAGAGATCCGATGGCTTTGCTCTCCAAAGCTTGCCTCGCGCGTTTCAAGATGTCATTCGCCTCTCATTCGAGCTTGGCCTTTATTACGTATGGATTGACACTCTTTGCATCGTTCAAGACGATCTACAAGACAGGCTCAGAATCTCTCCGAATGCACTTCGTATATGGGAACGCAAACCTCATTATCGCCGCAACAGCTGCCCAATCGCCCAATGATCATCTGGTTGCTCGCGATCGGACTTTGTGGTTCACTAAGACGCATTCTATGTGCCTGGAGACCTCTTACCCAGGGCAGCAGTTTTGTTTATCTCGGCCAGTCGTAAACTCAGTGACGGACTACTTCATTTCAGAAGATTATGATGAGATGTTCGACGCTAAGTGGAGCAAGCGGGCATGGGAATTCCAAGAAGATTCACTCTCGCGCCGGATGTTGTGTCTCGGCCGTGTAGAGTATAGACCCAATAGCAAACTGCTCCGTTTACGGCACGTTAATGCCAAACGCGGCCTTCTGTATGCCGACTTCCGGTCCTAGTACACAAGCCCATGGTGGAGCCGCCCCGAGTGGGTCTGTCCGTATCTTCTCCACGCAGTCGAAATCGACAAATTTCAGATGGTCTCCGACGTCAAGCAACAAGATCTCGGGCCTTAGATCCTCGTGGACTAGATCAAGAGACTCCAGTCACCCTACCGCACTGGGCTCTACGTCTAAACCGCTGGGGAAATTGTTACGCTTGTCGCGACGCTGGTTGACCTCGAGTCCTTGTTGGAGAAATCCACCACTTACGAAAGGCAGGAAATTTGCATTTGGAAGCTGGGGGAAGCTCTGGATGATATACGGAGATCGGTCATGCCTCAAAGATGTCATAGATCTCGCTTTCTCGGGCAAAGGCTGCGCACCCCAGGAACCCGGAGTAGTTGGGGGTGATATCGCTGTCGGTTTTGTAGACCTCCCTAGTAGCCTTGAGAGAAATGAATATGTGCCTTGAGATGCAGCGCGGCGGTTTAACTGCAGGTAACGACGTTTTTGTTCCGAAAGATCGTGTCATGATGCAGCGAAATGATTGTAGAAGGCGGAATACGTTAGTGTTTCTGGGGCGAGGATATAGTCTAGCCGTCTAGAAAGTCGTTCCGAGAGCTCTATTCTCTTGTGAAGATGGCAGAATCTGGCAGAATCTGGCGATCGGTGAAATCGTCTACGCCTGCGCGACTGGCTTTTAGGCTGTGTCGTGCAATCGATCCTAGGATGGATGTGGCTGTATATCGTCGTGAACTACGTATTTCTAAACACTAACGTGATTTTATTCGTTTAACCTTCTTTTCGAAATTCTTTACGCAAAGCCGATAATCAGTCTTGTATATCCAAATAGAATATATCATTACGCTATAAATTCTGAATGAATATTTTAATAGGCCGAGTTATATAGTTGATAATTCGTTGTCTTTTCAGTTGGTACAGGTTAGTCTAGCTTCCTTGACAGCAAGGGATTAAGCAATCTCTTAGGGAATTCCAGCTCTAAACTAAAATTACAGCCCGGGTTGATAGCAGAACGACATTTATTTTATACATGCCTCGGAGAACCTATACCGAAAAGAATCTTCTGGTGTCCAGAAGCCTCCGAACCCAGAAATAAAGAGGAAAAAAGCCTTGCCGTTCAATCGTCAACAGCAACGCCGAAGAAGGCCATGTTGGTTAAGACCTTATCCAACGGAGTCCTTACTCCCGCTTAGAAGTTCCGATCCCATAGCCGTTTCCGACCCCGTATCCGTAACCGTTATACCCACCCCCGACTCCGGCAAAGGTCCTCTCCCTCCCATACCTCCTCAGCCTCCGCGGAAGCTCCACGCCTCTAAAGTAGACCACGCACGCCACGGCGCTCACGCCAGCGCTCAGCACGCAGTACACAAACGTGCTCAAGTAGACGTGGCCCCCGATGCCCTTGCCGCCGACCCAGATGCCCGGCAGCTGCGTGCTCGGATACCAGCGCACGGAGAAGGTCAGCGGCAGGTCGGAGCCGACGACGATGCGGGTGGCGGCCTCGGGGTCGCCCTGGGCGACCGAGTACGCGGCGGCGGCGTCGATGACGCCCGCGGCCGCCGACGACACCGTGCCCGCCGTGTGCACCAGCATGTTGAGGCGCGAGTTGATGTGGATGTGCGAGAGCTGGAGGGTGCCGGTGAGGGCCATGATGAGCGGCGTGTACGCGGTCGACTGCGTGCCGAGCGCGCCGACTTGCTCAGACGTGTCCGGGTAGGGAAACAGCGGGCGTGAGGGGATGCGGCAGGTGAGGGGTGCGTCGTTGTGGACGTAGAATTCGAGGAGGTGGAAGAATTCGTCCGAGATGAAGGAGAGGGTGCAGTTCATTTCTGGAAGGGCAGGGTTAGAGCCGTGATGGAGGCTGCGCCGAACTGGATGGATAGAATCCTTACCTCTCTCGACACCGAAGAGAATCTCTAGAGGACGGCCGGTCTCGTTGCAGACCGGAAAGGGTACGTATTGCAATTGTCCCTGCTCATCCGTGATCTTCGCACCACAAAAGCGCGTAAGTTAGAGTTGTGCAACATTCTAGGATTGGGGTCTCGAGCCTTGCATGCGTGTGCATCCAGACATCCAAATCTGGATGCCTTCAGCAAGTTCGGGTGAAACGAGTTTGGCACATACATGTTCGCCGGTGTCTCTGCGCGCACACTTGAATTAGCGTCGAGGCAAAACTGCCGTAAGATCTTGCCTTCAGAATGGAGCGTGGATATTGTGCTTACATGGTCCGGTTCAAGCAAGTAACGGGAATCGGATCTCCCGTCATGTATTGAGGTCCATCCTGGCCGCCGAGAGGCTCTTGCGCAGCCGCAACACTCGCCACAAAGGTGAAGCAAAGGGCGAGCAATGCTGTCGGCACGATTCGCGTGGGCAAAGAGGTGCGCCCCATCCTGAGCGACGCACCGCGCTCCGAAAGCGCGCAACGAATAAAGAACGGGGCAAGTGGGGGCGAAGGAGACGAGATCTTTCCAAAGGCTCAAAATCTGCGCAGGAAGGGTCGCGTGCCCGGCGGGCACGACCGTGGGCACGAAGATGTTGATGTTCGGTTGGAGAAGGTCGCAAAGCTCCCTTTAGGAGGCGCTGTGGCTTAACGAGGCGCAGACATCAAGCGACGTGTGCTCTTTCCCCACAAAGTCGAGCGCGTCGAGGGGCCGACCAGGGCCCCTAGGTCCCTGCATTTCACCCTTGGGCCCCTTCCCCTCCCTTCCCAAGCACTCGCTGCCAGTACGTAGTACCCTAGTACACGATATGTCCGTGACAAAAGCCCGCCACTCCGCGCCTGGGCTAGTTGCGTTCTTCGAATCGTTGCTCCGCGATTAGCACATGTCCATGAGTCCAATGGACTAGGAGTTTTGAATTCCATCATCTTGGCCAGGCACTTGGGTTTCGAGCAGGCCCCGTGGCATAGCAGGTATGGCGTCGCCAATTGCCTCCTATCTTGTGTAGAGTTTTAGGCAGTGAAGTGGGTTGATATTTTACTCTGCAGCATTCACTGCGCTTTTGGCGCCCTAAGGACACATAGCACTAGCGAAATTGTCGAAACACCTAGCTAAAATAAAGTACTGCTAGCTTTTCGATAAGTAGGATCAAATCTGAAGCCGGAATGGGCGGATGTGATTGTAGCACGATACACGGGTGAGATCCGGTAGAAGCCGAGTGTAGGTAAATGGTGCTTGGGCGATTTGGGAAGAATACGAAGGCACTGCTTTTTGTTGATCATGCCATAGTTATGAAGAAAATGAAATAAACAAAAGCAGGATTCTTGCCCTAACTCATTCAAGCTGCAGAAGTTGGACGAGTAAAAAAGTTCAAAAAATTCCGGCACCGGGAATCGAACCCGGGTCTTGTCGGTTTTCATGCTCAACTGATGAGAGCGACAGATCATAGCCACTAGACCATGCCGGATGAGCTGTTGTTGAGAAACACTTTGACCAAATGCTTAATATATTCAAAGTTTGTGCTATCTCTCTCACGCTCCCATCCGTTTTGAATGGCGTCAACTCATAAACACTTGGAATTTACTGCGGAGTATAGGAATTGACACATGACTGTCATCAAGTATTTCGTTATCACTTTTACATGCAATTTTGTTCTAGTACTTAGAAATCTGTGAAATATCTTAAAAGCACTCCTATGTTATGAAAATCTGTGGGATACGATAAGGCTTCGCTAAGGAGCTGCATCGTCGCAAGAGCTGGAAGCTTGGGCCATTCGTCCACCAGCCTGAAGCATTTCGGTTGGTATCACGCAGCGAACTCTCAGAGCGCCTATTCGCCGTACCGCAGCATTGCTTGCGAGGAAAACGTTTCCTCTAGAAAGTGAATGTAAGCTTGGTTTGATGATACTCTATGGAAGGATATCTAATAACGCTCGTTTAGCTTGTCATCGCGATGTCATTCCGACCCTTCAAATCCACGCGCATTTTCCGCGTCGCGCAACTCCACGCCCCAACGCCGCTCTACTGCCGGCAATGCTTCCGACCACTAAGCACGACGCGCCGCCTGCTCTTCTCATCCCAGCCGGAATCGCAACCCTACAATGTGACGCAGGCGCTTCGCGGCAAGCTTAAGCAAGCGATGCAGGCCAAAGACCAGCCCAGCCTCAAAACCGTCCGCGCCCTCCTTGCCGAGGTCACCAATGCGTCCAAAACGAGCTCGCCCGTCGATTCGCCTACAGCATACGTGAAGCTGCTCCGGAAGAGCATAAAGGCATCGGAGACGGCGGTCGCGGAGTTTGAGGCCGGTGGAAGGAAGGACTTGGCGGATGCGGAGAGGGAGCAGATCCGTGTGTTGGAAGCGTATCACGATGCGGCGCAGGTGGATCTGGGAGAGGTAGTGTCGGAGGAGGAAATAAAGGCGGCGGTAAAGAGCGTGCTGCAGGATCTCAAGCAGAAGGGTCTAGAAGGAGGTAAGGCGGTCGGCCAGGCTATGAAGGTACTGACCGGGGTTGAAGGTCCGCTAGCGGGTAAGGCCGTTGAAAAGTCAGAGCTTGCAAAAGTGGTGAAGGAGATGGCATCGTGAAGTCCTTGTGTAGGTTTCAAGCTCTGGACGTTTATAGATATGTATTATACTGTACAATAGGACCAAACATATCTCCTGCCCTAGAGGTTTGTGAGTGTAATTGCTGAGAGTTGGATAATCCCTAAAATACAACCTCCGCCAAATTCGATCTCGGATCACAAAACATCGCTGATAGATAAAATCAATATATCATGCCGTTCGAATTCTTGGTATAAAAGAGTGCAAAATGTCACCGTGTTAAGCAAAGTTGCAGGGCTCTGCAAACAGATCCAAATCTAGCATATTTCTCGGCTTGGCGTGGCGGTATTCCGGACAGGGAGGTTCTACTCCGCATTTCCTACTCGCTTCGCGACCTTAACGCGTCTTGACTTCCTCAACTCGTTGCTCGCGGAGACCGCTTGCCATCAGTCGTATTTCACTCTCTAACTTTCCTCCTGCGATTCTTTTGATCGCGCCGAATTTGCCTTTCCTCAACTTTGCTGCGCCCATAACCTATCAGCATGGCGTCAATCTGGACGCGCAAGACCGACTTGGCTTACCTCCTTTTCTTTCTCTTACACATCCCCATAATGCTAGGTATGTACACATGTTCAATCACCAGGCCGTGGAGTACTTTGGGCAACTTTCAGATGATTCCCGATGCTTCATACGTGCCGGCGGCGGGCTGCGTGGTACTTGCATGTTAAGAGTATATTCCGTACTCTTCATGTTCAACGGAGAACTAGATCTGACGTGTCATGCTCTCTGAAGTGGTCGATTTCGCACCGCTATACCCAGATGCAATTAAACCAATCTGGATGGATGCGATCCGACAAGTTCAGATTGATAACTATCATGATCGTTTCTTCAGTTCACCCCCGTAAGTACAACTCCATCTGGCTTAGAAGTTGCGTCTTTATCTCTGCCATGTTCTAATTTGAAGCCCTTTAACAGAGCTTGGTTTGGGGCCTATGTGTGGATGGAGGCTCTTTTTCATCTTCCTTTTAGCGTTTGGGCAATTGGGGCGCTGGTTCGGGGTATGTCGGAACCCACTCCCTGATAGAGCGAGCTTTCCGAGTAGCTGGCTCCCTGACTTGATAGCCAGATGATTCCAAGCTACCTCTCGGTATGCTCATTTTTGGCTGTCAAACTTTTTTTACCACATTCACCTGCATCGCGGACTTCCTTTCGTGGGAGGACTACTCTCTTCAAGAGAAAATCGACCTTGGGACGTTGTATGTCCCCTACCTTGCGCTTGGTAAGGGTGCCGTTCCTTCTGAACCAATCTAAGTGTATCCGATCGGTTGCAGCGTGAAAGCTGTGGCAATCGCGCTGACGCGTTCTACAGCCGTTTATATGACGGTGGATTCTTTTTCTAGGATAAAAGTAAAGTTGGATGAAATCGACAATGCGAATCATGCCGCCAACACGGTCAAAAAGGACAAGTGATTGATACTACACAGTTGCAACATACTATCGTTGAACCAAGAGACCAAAGGGTAAACGTTGAGTAAGACTTGCGATAGGTTTAAACCTGGTGCTTCCTGTAACTAACCGTAGAAAAAGAGCCTGTGTTGCAGATATTAATAGCTGCTGAAGGATTGCTTTGTCAATATAATACCGTAGCGGAGTCTACAAAAATCTTCTCATTCGTCTCTGAAAAGCTTCTCTATCGATGAGTCAGAACTTAGGCTCGACTCGAAGTTTTACCTCGAAACTCAGGCTTTGGAGGCCTCCCAACAGGTGAGTTTCAGACCTAAGGGCGTTTGTACCCTTTTTAGTTCTTTAAGACATGAATCTTACGCTGTCGACAATGCAGCCGAGCGCAAACGCCATTTCAGCTTCCCACCGCCCAGAGGCTAACACGCAGCTAGGGATGAGAAATTTGTAACAGATATTTCCCATAGAATTGGCCAGAACATTTCTTGTCTTTGCCGTTCTTTAACCCCTCCCTAAATGCGCAGAAACATTTTGTGGCAAATCACAGTGTGATTGGCCATACGCGACCAGGCCTTCTACTAGAAACTGCACTAGCAACCTTGCTCGCTTCAAACGCACTCTAATCTGAGCGATCGGATTAAACCAACAAACAGCAGTTAGTCCTATCGGACAACACCAATATTTCTACAGAGGCAGAATACCTCTGCAAATGGTGGTTACCATCCCTTGAACCTAGAAGCTGTTCGATCTGAAAATTGAGCCAGGGATGCTGAACAAACATTCGTTCTAAGTTCAAGGGCCACGCGGTGCCAATTAGTGGAGGATCTGAACCAGCGCGCCTTCATACAGCACCTAAGCTTATCCCCGCCTAAGTGCCACAACGAACACTTCCGCAAAGAAAGAGCATCATATTAATAGAATCCTCGATGCCACGCAAGCGCAGCTCGTGCGAAGTTTTAGATTTGGGATAAGTCTCACCGCGAGGACCCACTTTGGTTGGTCCCACACGCATCCTTTTGTGTCACTCTGCTGGACCAGCATCTCGAGATGCACTCCCCTCTTTTGTTTTCCACCCGATCTTTCAACGCCAGGCCTAGTCTCGTTCTAGCTGTCAGTGCATGAACTAGAACTTTCAGCTGGGAATACAAAAGAACGGGCGGCCGCCCTGGTCTCTTAGGAAACCATTCCCGCCTTTCCCTTTTTTCACAGCCTCACACCAATTTACTGGTGCTGGCTCAGTTTTCAGTAGAGGCTGTCCTTCGTTTGCGAATTCATTCATTCATTCGTGCATAATTCATTCTGATCTCGCCAGCCGATATACTGCGAGAGTTTTAAGACTTCTCTCCCTTTTTGAATAGCAATTTGACTCGTCAACATGTTCAACTTTCTCGTATGTTTTCTTGCGCTAGCGTTCTTCAGTCGTGGTGAGTATCACTCTGCCAAAATAGTCAACATTGTACTAACTCTTATGTAGCGAGTCCTATCCGACATCAACCCCACGGCGGAGGTCATCCCCAAGCCGGACACCATCCCCATGGAGGACATCATCCCCATCCCGAGGCATGGCATCCGCCTGGCCCTATCCCACCTTTCGGATGGCCATGGCTCGGGACTCCTCCGGACACCAGCAGCAGCTCAGTCTGGCCGATTAGCACCGCGTCTTCCTCCCCAACCATACCTTCTTCCATGGCGTCCCCGACACAAGACCTGGAGGCTCCCAGCAGTGGAACCGGCACTCCGACTTCGAGCAGTTCGTCCACAAGGTTGGTCGGCACAGGCAGTCCTGTCGGCACGGGTAGCTTTAGCAGCGTCGGTTTCGGTAACGGCACCATATCAGCTGGTCGGTCGTTCGGTACGGGCACCGCATCGGCTGGTCGCCCGTTTGGCACGGGTGTGGGTAACGGTACCATATCAGCTAGCCGCCCGTTAGGCACGGGCGGCCCTAGCAGCGGCAATGGCGTGGGCACGGGCACCATATCAGCGGGTCGGCCGTTCGGCACTGGTGGAAGTACTGGGACCATAACAGGTGGCCGCCTATTTAGCACTGGTAGCCTTAGCAGTGGCACGGGAAAAGGTACCGGCACTGTATCAGCTGGCCGCCCGCTCGGCACTGATAGCGATGGCAGCGGCGTGGCTACAAGCACCATATCGGTTGGTCGCCTTGGCGTTGGTACCGGGACTATGTCAGCCGGCCGCCCGTTCGGCACGGGTAGCTTTAGCAGCGGCAGCGGCTTGGGCAACGGCACCATATCAACTAGCCGCCTGTTTGGGACGGGCGTGGGTACCGGCACGATATCAGCTGGTCGGCCATTTGGCACGGGCGTGGGTACCGGCGCCGTATCGGCTGGCCGCTCGCTCCCCACCACGAACAGTACCCTCGGCGTTGGTTTCTCGTTCTCGCCGACGATCGCAGCTATATCAAATCCGTCCGTCTCGCCCGGCACTACGAAGATGTTCACTCTGACC